ATTCTCATGGGACACATAGTCTCTGGGGAAAATATGATTTGTAATCATGTAATACAGATGTTGCTACAGTATCTTTTGATAATCCAATTGCTTATATAGATTTGAATTGCCATACTTCTAAATTTAACAGTAATTTGTATCCACAACACACACACACACACACACACACGCACACACACACATGCACGCACACACACACACGCACTACCCTTTGGTCAATACAGATGCTCTCCACTCCCAGATCTGGTTGGGCCTGCACTGACTAGAAGGGACCATTCTGACTCAGTGTCTGCAGGAAGTCTACTACCTTCTGATGCCGTTGGCTTTCAAGTTTTCACTTTATTTTGCGGAGTCATATTCTGTGGCAGTTTTTATTTTTAAATAAAGGGGATATGAAGCAGGTGAGATTGCTTTAACTGTGCCCATAGAGTTTCAGCAGCTGCAGAAGCCTCTGTAATGTAGAAAATGGGAAGTGGGTGCTGTGGCTTGCATGCATGAGAACAAGCACACATTCTCTTTGGGACACCCCGCGGAAAGACTGAGCTGTAGACATCAAGAGGACATGGTTTCAATCTCTGATTTCCTACCTATTAACATGTCACCTTACCTCTTTTGTAAAGGGACAGTACCTGCTTTGATTCTCTTATAGGATTGATAATGAAGGTCAAATGATGTATTGGACTTGAAAGTGCTTTGAAAGCAAAAATTATGCAGGTATGGGTAGTTTTCCTCTCTTTCTAATAATAGGAATAATTAAAAAGTGTATTCCCTGGAACATAGCATCATATGGAAGCTTCAGAGGGGGCATGGTACCTTCTCCAAGAAGTCTCTTCATCTTCACTCTGGGAATGTTGAGTGGCAACAGCATTCCTGAGATTGTCTCCATCTGGTATTAACATCATAAATAGTCACTTTTGAGCCAATAATCTGGTTGTTTTTTAATAAAGGAAATCTCCTTGGATCATACTGTTTTCAGTCTACTATACTGAACTTGTATTTCATGGATTTGTAGAATGGGTAAGTGTATCTGAATGAAGCCATTCTATACATGTCCTCATTAGTTCTTCATATTATTTTAGCACTTTGGAATAATGGCAAATCTTGGTTCACCTTGAAAACTAGAATTTTTTTATGTGGTTCTTGGTATATGTGAAGAGTTTTTAGAGTTTACCATATATTTTAGACATATAGAAGTACTTCAATAGAAGTATCAGGTAGTTATTAACTGGGTGGTTATTAAACTAATTGAAATTATTTATGCTCTGACTCCTCTACTCAAGAACCAACTCAGAGCTTTGGGATACTGAAAACAGAACCTAAAACTTGTAACAAAGAAAGGATGTCAAATCTGATGGCACCAGCAGATGGTGCTCATGGTCACATTATCCCTTCAGTTCCGGTCCATTTCATTGTCTGGCTCATTTGTCTGTGCTTAGTTTTGAATTATCTTTTTTTGTTTTTTTTTTTTTTTAACATTTATTCATTTTTGGAAGACAGGGAGAGAGACAGACCATGAGTGGGGAGGGCAGAGAGAGAGAGGGAGACACAGAATCTGAAGCAGGCTCCATGCTCCAAGCTGTCAGCACAAAGCCTGATGTGAGGCTCGAACTCAGGAACTATGAGATCATGGCCTGAGCTGAAGTTGGACGCTCAGCCGACTGAGCCACCCAGGTGCTCCCAATTTTGAACTATCTTAAGAGTATTAATAACCCCATCATTTCTGATAAGTGCAAAAGCAGTGAGAATGTTGAAATGCTGGTGTCGGGGAAGGATTTCCTCTGCCCTTCGAGGTCCTTCTGGCCAGAATAAGAATCAGAGTGACACAAGACAGACTAACAGGAGAAAATCAAATTTAATTTCCTATGTATGAGAAACCCACACAGATGTGGAAATTCTGAAGACAGTCAAGCAAAATGTGGTGTATATATCATTCTGAAAGGGGCTCTAGGGGTCTGGGACTTCCTGCAATTCACAGGATGATAAAAAAGAGTAAATGTTTGGTAAAAACAAATGTTTTCTGGGCCACTCAGAAAGAATGAGACACAGAGGACATTGATCAAACAGGCTCTGCTAGATTCCTCTCTCTCTGCTATACCTAGTTCATAGTGTCATGGAGTTATCTCTAGTGACAGCTCTCTTCCTAGAGCAAGACCTCTATCTAAATTCTTTTAAGTAGTTGAGGTGGGAAGGTAACGAGCTTTTCCTGAATCTGCTGGGCTTTGATTGCTTTTAACTCAAAAATTACCTTCATGCCAATGTAGTCCATCTTGGGGTGGTCTGCCCTTGGTGGTAGATAGATAATATAGGAAAAAAGATAATAAAAAAAGCAAGTGGTAAGGAAACAATGCTGTATGTGCGTATAAGATGAATCATTCAATTGAGCAAATAATTCTAAGGGACAAAGAATAACTCACACAGTGTGCTTCAAGTGCCATGCAGATGACAGTAATTGGCAAGTGATGGGGGAAAAAGGTTTGACAAAGTAGAATATATGTTAGAAGAGACCTGTCCAAGCCCTGTTAGCCTGAAGCTAATTCAGGAAACAACTGAGAGTCTGCAAGCTTAAAGGCTGAGGGTGGATGAGTGCTGGTGACAAATCCCCAGTCCAAAGCTCTGCTGGCTGCCTAGGTCCAGGTCCTGCCACAGACTAGTGGCTGGTTCCGTAGCTAGAACCTGAGTACAGTGCTTGAGCAGACAAGGGAGGGTGGTTACCAGTCTCCTAATTTTCTTTTTCTTTAAAGTTTTTATCTTCAATTTATTTATTTATTTTGAAAGAGAGAGAGAGAGAGAGCCTGAGTGGGGGAAGGACAGAGAGAGAATCCCAAGCAGGCTCCGCACTGTCAATGCATAGCCTGACACAGGGCTCAAACCCACAAAACATGAGATCATGACCTGAGCCAATGTTGGATGCTTTACTGACTGAGCTACCCAGGTGCCCCCCTCCTAATTTTCAACATAGAAGAAACTGATCCTTTTTGCAAAATGATGTCCCACATATCTTATATCATTAAATAAAGGGAGAGTGGGCCTGTTTTTAAAGCTCACATTCCTTATGGTGGAAATTTATTCAGAGACTACAAATTCAAGTTCTTCAAAGTCATGTTGGACTTTTGAACAGACATGTATAAAATCTGTTGGAACAGTTCTAACCTGTTCACAGATAGGGAACTGGCTACTGTACTATTCTGTTTTAGATGCAGAGCAGTTATGTATCCTTTTATAATATTAAAATAAAAATGAGATAGAATATGGTAGGTAGCAATTGTGAAACCTATAGGAGTCATTATTTCGCCAAGTAATAAGCATAAAGAAACCTTTTGACCTACAACTCATTTCCTATCATTGCAATGTTGACATAGTGGGAAAAGTATAAACTCTGGCACTACCCAGCTGTATGATGCCAGAAAGCTGTACAACTCCTCTGAGATTCAGTTTCTTCCTCTGATAGTTGGGTATTGTGTTGCGCATACATCATAGGTGTTTGAGGAATAAAAATAATACTAAGTTACTAACACAGTGCCTGGTCATAATGCGCCTTTAATGACTAGTAGCCTTCAGTGGAATTAGCATTAATATCACTCTCCATGACTAGTAAAAAATCTCAACAGAGGGCTTGAAGAGTGCCACTACCAATTGCCATGGCCAGTTTTATTAACTAAAATAGACTAAACTTTTATAACAAATAGACCAACAAAGCAATAGGCAAAACACAACAGGAGTTCATCTTTCTCGCTTAGAACTTCAAAGAATGGTTCTGGTTCAGGAGGCCCAGGTCCACAGAGTCACTCAGGGACTGAAGGTGTAGTAGTATGACTGTGATCACCATTTCAGCCCAAAGGAAGGGGGAAGTGGGAAGTGGAAAGGAATGCGTGAAGGAGGTTTTAAGGGCTTGAATAGGAGTGGCAAATACCAGGTATCACAAATTGGAAATAACTTATTCCCATGGACACCTAACTGCTAGGGCAGCTGGGAAAAGCAATGTAGCTACTGTGAGATAAGGGATAAAACTGAGGTAGTCACACTGGTTTATTACATGACATGGTAATGACCCTAAAGTATCTTGTGCTCCACACTGAATCTCAGTACCAACCTTTTTCTGAAAATTTACTGACAATTTCTGATCGATACCAAAATTCAGGAGTGAGTCCTCAGGCACAGGGCACATAAATCATGGTGATATGGGTTGTGAGAGGCTCATGTGACTTTTCATACTGGGACTTGGCCCAGACTCTGCATCAGGCCGGGGACAGGGGGACAGGGGCCTGTGTAACTGACCTGGCCTTAAGAGACACTCCGTGTGATATGCCAGCTCAGTCACAATGCCAGAGCAGTTGGCATGTGGCAGGCAGGAGTGACACCAGGGAATCTGGGCAATGGATCTGGGAACCCCATTGGCAGGAGTTGCCTCTTGGGAAATCCATCCAGAGCAGCATAAAGCCAGATACTGGGCTGGGTAACAGGGGTGGGAGAGGTGGGGAGGGGAGGAGAGTGATCAGACAGAGAAAGTGGCCAGGGCTCCCAAGCACCAAACTGATATTCTAGTCATGCCTCCAGTCTTATACAGGGAGCAAGGCATATGCAGTTAAATGGCAGAGACGAAGCATTTCTCTGGTCTGAACTAAAACAGGGGATGACATAGAGCAGGGATTAAGAGAAGAAGATAATTTAAATTAAGGAGTAATGGTGATGTCTAGAAGTCATTCTGGGGCCCTGGGGCCAGCTGGGAACAAAAAAGAGAAACCCACTTGTCATGACCAAAACACCAGCTCCAGGGTCTTGAGCAATAATCCCCTACTGAGTAGGGAGGCTGAGGTCTCCCATACCTACTGCCTCAGTCATTATGGACTCAGGTACTTTGGTGGTGGAAAGCTTTGGTACATACATCTATGGGAGTGGGGCAGGTTAGGGAACATTGAAACAAGGGAAGCATTAACAGATTACCTACTGAAACTGCACTGTAGTTCTAAATGGTATAAAAACATGTTTCATTTAATTTTTAGTCATTCTCCAGTTCCTCAAGAAATATTCAACAAATGTTGGCAGATTCTATCAATCGTATGAAGGCATATGGATTTCACCAGGTAAAGACTTACATTCTGTCTTCAGGGGGCTAAATGCATAGCCATGTCCACTAATGTTTCACAAATGGATATATTAGTCTCATGCAGAAATGAAAGCAGCAAAATGTGAAATCTGTCTTAAAAAGCTTGTGAGCATAGCTATTCATCTTTACCTGTTTATCTGGAGGTTGGAAAAGTCTTGAGTATCATGGAAAGAACAGATGCCAAGAAATATCTGCTAAACTCCTCATGGAAGATCTAAAACAGAGACAACACCAGAGAGCGATAAATGAAGCATTTAACTTGGCGGAAATAGTGAATTCAGATTAAGTTCCTAATGTGTTCATTGGTTCTGTGAACCTGTCCCTTCAGGATGAGCAGCCTCTTGTGCCGTCCATGCCCACTGTGCCAGGAGCTCCTTTGGGCACTCAGACCTCTCACACATCCACTCAGACGTGGGATTCTTCCTACAGGCCAAGCCTGTTTCCTCCATCATGCTATATTGTCATTGTATCATACATTCTTCACAATAAATGGGGCATAGGCTGGCAGTTGGAAACCATGGTAGGATTTGACCCGCAGTAAGTTTGAAAACATAGCATAAGATAGGAGGCTGTAAAGAGAAGGTTCTGAGTGACCACAGGCCTGAGATGGGGTCATGGTGAAGGCCCACATTCTAGTAGACTCTAGCAGATCTAGTAGGTCTCTAGTAGAGGTCAATTCCCTGACTGGTCTGCAGGGACATGCATGAACTGAGATAGCTCCTGTGGAGACTTCGAGAAGCCATGAACTTTTGTGGTATAGTCCTGGTGTGCATACTGCTGATATAATATAGGCCATTCCAGAGCATCTAAAGGAAAATTTCAGTTGCACTACCCAGATTACATTGCTTCATTTCAAATGATAGCGAGAAAGACAAAGGGTCTGTGTATTTATTCAACCAATTTCTGCTGAGTTTCTCCTCTGTGGTAGGCACTGTTACAGGCTTTGGAAACACAGTGAAAAAATAGATAAAATCCCTACCCTCAGGAAGCTTATATTCTGGATGTGGAGACAGACAACAAACACATCTATGAAGTCAGATGGTCGTAAGTTCTATGGGGGAAAATGATGCAGGATAAGGGAGGTGAGGAAGGCTGGGAGGGTGGGAATTGGTTTTTTATAGAGATGGTCAGAGAAGGCTACTCTGTAAAGGTGCTATTGGTGGATACCTGAAGGAATGAGGGAAGGGGCCATGTGGATGACTGGGGTAAATTATGTTCCCAGCAGAGGGAACAGCAAGTATAAAAGCACAAAGGCAAGAGCTCGCTTGACATGGTCAAAGAGATCAGTGCTGAGAAATCATGTAGACCCTTGTAAGGAATTTGGTATCTTGGTGTTATTTCAAGCCACGATGAAAGATGAAATCATCTAGAGAGTGAGTTTAGATGGAAAAGAGAAGTGGTCTGAGGTCTAAGGTACATCAGTGTTTAGACTGGGCCTGAAATATCTTGTCTCCAAAATAAGGGAAATGGACTAGATCAGTGGTTCTCAAACATTTTAAGATGTAAGTTATTCGTTTTCACACCCTCTCAGGAGAACACCTAGAGCCATGGGCCGATACATCCCCTCTCTAACTTAAGAAATTATATGGGAATTCAAGAGAGTGAATGAGCAGAAAGATCACTTACCAAGCTTCTCTGTAGAACAAAGGTAATAAAACAGAGCCTTCCCACTTTAAAGGCAATGGAGAGGCTCTCTGAGGAAACTTGTGGAGAGTATTTCCATTAACAGGCTGGGATGAGAGACTTTCTGTGGGAGACGTTTTGACATCAAACTGCCTGTCCTCATGTTTAAACCTCAGCCCGTGGGCATATGGACCAGTGTTCAGCCTCAGCCCTGCTATTCCTTCACTCCTCAGCCTCTATCTTGATTTTCCCATGCTTGGCTCACCATCCCCATCCTGGGCCTACATGTTTCCAGCAAACACTTCTAAAAAGGAAATGATAGGTTGGCTTGGTTTTCTAAATAGATGAAGTAGGAAGTAAGGATCAACTTGTAACTGTTAGGCACCCCTAACAGTCATTTAAAACACCAGAAGCTGCTTTTTGTCTGTTTGTTTTAGTTTTTATAATATTGGCAAACTGCAGAGGCTTAGCTCTAGGCAGGAAATGAAAGTAAGAAAAAAAGTGAAAATAATAAATACACAAAAGTTTTGTTACATCTTGGGGTGCCTGGTTGACTCAATCAATTAAGCATCTGACTCAATTTTGCTCAGGTCATGATCTCACTGTTTCTGGGATCAAGCCCCATATGGGGCTCTGCACTGACAGTGTGGAACCTGCTTAGGATTCTTTCTCTCCCCCTGTCCCTCTCCTGTTTGCTTGCAAAGACACACTCTCTCAAGGAAGAAAGAAAGAAAGAAAGAAAGAAAGAAAGAAAGAAAGAAAGAAAGAAAGAAAGGAAGGAAGGAAGGAAGGAAGGAAGGAAGGAAGGAAGGAAGGAAGAAAAAGAAAGAAAGAAAGAAAGAAAGAAAGAAAGAAAGAAAGAAAGAAAGAAAGAAAGAAGTTACATCTGAAGTGGAATATAGTGTATGAATTATCACCTATATTAACTGTGATTTATGACTTCCCACAGTGATTGAAAACAAGTTCCGTGACATCAAGGTTTATATTTTAGTTGGGGTGAAATAACTTAACAGAAAGTCTTTATCTTTCTATAGAGAAAAACAAAAGAAAAAAAAAACTATCATTTTTGTGCTGGAGAACAAAGCATGATCTGTCTTTTCTGACCCTCTCAGCTTATTTCATTATTTAGGTGACCAAGGCTCTTATTTAGTTGACCAAGTGCTAAATTCAGTTTTCTTGTAGGCACTCAGGAGGCAGTTCCCAAATAAACAAAGTACTTTTTAGGTCTAAGTGATTTGGCGTATTAGTTTCTCTTTCGTTAAAAACGAGTTCCTTCAGTGTACTGGTGCATAGAGCTGTCCACTTCACGATGGCTAATGTCATTTTTATGTTATGTGTATTTTGCCACAATTTTTAAAAAGGTTACAATGGTAATTTTTATATTATGTATATTTTACAATAAACAAAAGCAAATTCCCTTTTTAAGGAAGACTTGTGTTTCTTATTTTATGTTTTCTCAAAGATGATGCTTTGTAAAAATATTTTTCTGCTTTTTTTAAATACAAAAAAATATTCCTTTTTGGGTCACCTAAAATCATGTGTAAGTACCACATTTTTAGACACACTGGTGCGAGGGCACATGGAGATACAGCTAAGATTGCTGTAGAAATGTACTGTTATTTTTATGGAACCTGTCAGATACTAGAGTGTTTACATTGGTGCCATGAAACTGTATTTACACACTACTTCAGGGAATTCACCCTAAAACAGAGAAGTGCTGTGTTTGAGGAAAATGGATATTTATTGAGTTCTTACTGTGTTACACACTATGGGAGACACTTTTTAAATATTATTTAACCCTCAATATAACCCTATGAAATATTTTTAATTCTCTTTTTTTTAGTTTATTTTTGAAAGCGAGAGAACTCAAGTGGGGGAGGGGCAGAGAGAGAGGGAGACATGGAATTGGAAGCAGAGGCCAAGCTCTGAGCTGTCAGTACAGAACCTGACACAGGGCTCAAACCCTCGAACCGCGAGATCATGACCTAAGCTAAAGTCAGATGTTTAACCAACTGAACCACCCAGGTGCCCCGAAATATTTTTGATTTTCTGATTATACTTAGGGGAAGACAGCCTAAGGGAGGTTTGGTAAGGGCCCATGCAGTTGTACAGCTAGGTGGCGGTAGAGTCAGCTTCGGGTATCACTGACTCCAAGCTTTTCCTGCACAACAAATTGCCTAGCCAGGGGCCACAAGGGAGTTAAACAGAAACCAACCTGAGTCCCCTCCCCATCCCTGTACCCCCTTCCTCCCTCCCCTCCTCCACCTCTCCTCACAGAAAACTGCCAGTCAGTCATTAGTGTTTGTTTCTGTTGTTGTTGTTGTTTTAACAGAAGAAAGAATCCATGAAGAAAACACAAGATGAGGAACTAAAACAAATAGATGGGGAGAAAACCAAGCAGATTTATAAAAGCTGGAAAGAAGATTCAGAGTGGCAGGCATCTTGTGAGTACCTCAGGGCCTCCATAACACTTTAGACTCTCCAGGCCAATTCCTTCTCTTAATAAACGATCAAACTAGGAAGCACTTAAAATAGTTGTTGAGAGAATTATTACTAAGTTGTTACACAAAGGTTTATGAGTCTCTTTTTGAACAGTAGTAGAAAGGTTTTCCATTCATCTTTGTACCATCACAGCTGTCGTATCTATTTGATGGAATGGTATATAGCTATGAAAAAACATGTTTTAGAAGAGTGTTTAATGAATTTGGGATATGTTTATATCTTTTTTTTACTTGAAGAAGAAAAAATATTACAAAATAATATGAAAAACATCCTTTGTTTGTTTGTTTGTTTATTTTTAAGTAGGCCTCACATCCAGCATACAACCCAACATGGGGCTTGAACTCACAACCCTGAAATCATAACCTGAGCTGAGATCAAGAGTCAGACACCTAACTGACTGAGCCATCCAGGTGTCCCAAAAGATCCCAATTTTATTTTATTTATTTTTTTTTTAATTTTTTTTTTCAACGTTTTTATTTATTTTTGGGACAGAGAGAGACAGAGCATGAACGGGGGAGGGGCAGAGAGAGAGGGAGACACAGAATCGGAAACAGGCTCCAGGCTCCGAGCCACCAGCCCAGAGCCCGACGCGGGGCTCGAACTCACGGACCGCGAGATCGTGACCTGGCTGAAGTCGGACGCTTAACCGACTGCGCCACCCAGGCGCCCCGAAAAGATCCCAATTTTAAAATGCTCGAGTATATGAAGTAAAAGAACTGGAAGGTTATTAACATGTCGACATTAGTTTTTTTGGAGAGGTGCGATCTGAGATTTATTTGAATTCTTGTTATCCTGTATTTTTCTAAATTTCAACATTGAACTCAACTTGGTAATAGAAGAACCCAGGAATAATCGGATATATCAGCATCCCTCCCATGCCTGTCATCTAACCCTGACTCCTTTTAGAGGTGGCACCACCAAAGATAGACCTCCTTAGGAAAAGCTCAGTGCAGGTGAAGGCAGAGCAGAGCCTGCTCAGGGATGCTAGGGGAAATGTTTGTTTGAAACAGCTGACCCAGAAAAAGGCTTACCTACCAGGTCATCCCTAGAGACCACTTGAGGGCGAGAACAGGAGTGGCAATGTTTGCAGGATGTGGAGAATACTGTGTTCAGTTCCATAACAGTGAATACCATTAACATGACAGTTTTTGTGAAATGAAAACATTTGCAAGATCCAATCACTTCTATGCAGTGAAATTCTAGCGTAATGGAACATTTTTGGCATCTCTTTAAAGCCGAACCTAACAGGGTTTGACGAATAATGGCTGAAGTGCAAATACACACAATAAAAATTAGTCTTAACATCCTGCATTAGAGTCATTTACCACTGTGTTGCCAAAACAAAAGCAAAACAAAACAACAAACCTTCTGCTTTACAAAGCAACATTAAAAGGTGACTTTGGGATGCTTTCATGTGTATCAACACATTCTCTGTGGTGAGAATCACTTTATTTTATTTTTTTGTTCTGGCAGGCCAATTTACATTTGGTTCAGTTCTCTGTGGACTGAGGAGTGGACATCACCACTCTTTCATCCTGTCCACAGCCAGGAGCCATGGCACTGAGGAGTTCCTTATAGTCTGCTCTTTGCTGGTGACATCCTGAGCTGCGTGTGTGAGGGATGTGACATCACCTCTTTTATTCAAAGACCCCCTGTCAGTTGGAATTCTCACTTGGTCTGTGACTCACCACTTGGTCTTGCCAACTGCAGGAAATTCTAAAACATGTACCCATGGTTCTCCATTTCTATCTCCTCTTTTCCTCCTCCTCTTCCTTCTCCCTCTTAGAAAGTCCTAAAACTCCCAGAGAAAGATAGGAAGTCTGCAGTGAACATTGGGCAGTTGTGAATATGCAAGCCTAAACTATGTGAGTCATAGGTGTTGACACTGATTGTTCATTGTCATCATCAGATGACAGAATCTGCTGGGAGACTGCTCTCTCCACCAGCTGAGTCTTCTCACCATCTCTGTTGGCTGACCAGGGGCTTTCTCAACACCCCCCCCCCCCTTGTTTTCCTAGTGCGAAAATCCAAAGCAGCTGATGAGAAGAGACGCTCTTTGGCTAAACAAGCGCGGGAAGACTACAAGAGGTTATCACTAGCAGCTGAAAAAGGAAGAATCGGTGAGGGACCACAAAGCCCCCCAAGCATTCCACAGAAACCAAAAAGACCTCCGCTTCCACCCAAGCCTCTGTTCCTAACCCCAGCGGGATACCCTCGAAAGCCTCTTAGGTAAGAAGCCACACAGATGGCTTTAAGCATAACGGTGGAAACTGGCTGATTAAAGACAAACTGCATGATGAGCCATGGGGAGTGAAGGACCAGCTGGCTGCCTGTGAAATTAAATTCAGCCTCCCCTCCAAGCCTGTCTTCCTGAGATACCTGGTCTGGATTTGTCTCATTCTTATCTATAAAATATCCACAGTTGTTGTAATTAAGATACCCAGTAATTTAGGATGCACATCGAGTTCAGTGCCTTCCTATGCTACTATCGCACCCCCACCCCCTTGGGCTGAAGGGGAGCCAATGAGGGGAGAAGCAGAAACAACAGGGGTTTCACCAGTGCTCAGTATTGCTCTTAGTAGGAAACAATATCAAAGTAGGAATCTAATGGCTTGCTGACTTTCATGGCTTCAGTAGAGTTATGTTTTCATTGCTCAGGATTAAAGGTTTGATGGTAATCCTTGTTCTGGGATACAGAGCCAAGCTCATATGTTGACATTTTGGAACTATTCCTTTGTTGAATGAATACTTTTTTGGTCATAACAGTGCCTTTGCCTCCAAGGCTATGGGAAATTAGAACAATTTGTTTTGTAAAATCCCTGAAGAAAAATACAATGATATCATAGCAGAAACCCCTTTCCTTTATGTTACTTAACTGATTATAAAATTATTTTCTCCTGGATATTATATGATTTTTTTCCGTATTCTAATATGTAGAAAGGTGATAGTTAAAATATACCAGAGAAATCAAATAGTGATTGAGTGAAACAGAACTGTCTGAAAGCCTTGCCTTCTGAAATAAAAACTAAAAATACTCGGTTACAAACATGGAGAAATAAAAAGCAAACAAATCTCTCTTTGCTTGGAGACAGTAGTTATCTTCAGGGCTTTTCCTAAGGGAGATTATGACCTCAGAGGAAATAGGAATGTGAACCTTTTCCTCTACTATAATTATTTCTACTTAACTAAAAGGTTCCATTTTGTGACTTGGGGACCCGAACTAAATGATCATGGTCTACAAAGTGACAGTTTGGGGAATCATTTTTTTTTTCTTATGGACAAAAACCCAAGAAAGGCAATCAGAAACAGGTATCCTCAAACTTCTGTGACCAGGTCACAAAGGTGTGAGATCCTGCACAGGGTCCTTTCCAGTGCCCAGGCTTGTCTGTGTATTGACCACAGATCCCCAGCAGGGCTGTTTGTGGACCTACCTCTGTTCTCCAGGCTCTTTTGAGGGTGGGACTGTGCCTTGAAATATGTCCTGACCCACAGTATTTTCAGAGCACAGTGTATGCGATTGACAGCAATGAAGGTGGCCTTTAATAAGGGTAATTCTTGTTTTGAGCTGTGCTCAGTTAGCTCATTTTTTCCAACTTAATACACTTGCATGAAATGCTTCTTGTGAGGCAGCCAGAATGGATAGGTTTTGGGCTGGGACAACAGTGATGACCGAGGTCAGCTAGGAGCCAGCCCAAGAAAAGACAGAGATTGGCTGTCCTCAGATGTTTTGCTTAATCTCCATAGAGTTCCCAAAGAAAAAGAACCTAATTTGAAAGCTAATTAGAGCACTCATCATGTAATCTTATGTGTGTGCAGTGTCTGATACCCAAAAAAGTCAACTATTATAGGCTACTTTCTCCAAAATGCTGTTTATGTATATATATGAATATGTACCTGCATATATGTACATCTAACATATGTCACATGTAACTCACAGTGACATGTGTTACCATAAAACGCATAAAGAGCCATACATTAATTTACATGACAGGTATCCCAGTAGTTCATCCAAACTCCTCATTGTTTTCACACTAAATTCTGCTCAAAATTAGTGGGCTGTGGTGTGAGACTTGGAAATATGTTTATTACATTGCAATGTTACTTTTGTAATGGAAATTGACTTACATCCCAGAATTTAAGTTCTGCTACTGAATATATTTCAAAATGATTCTGCTGCTTGTATCTTTTTTTTTCTTTTACCAATCTTCATACATTTTTCTTTCTTTTTACTTTATAGTTCTGAGGCTATCTTTAACAGAACCAAACTTCTTCAAAGTGTGGGAGAGAAGAAAGCAAGTCAGGGAGATGGAAACAGAAAGAAGAGAAAGTTTAATAATGAAAATGTTAGGAAGGAAATTTATTTTATTGCATTTGATTTCTTTTGTTTGCAAGGACATGGCCCAAGGAAAGTAGTGCTGGGGTGTATTTCACTTTTTAATACTTATTTTCTCAAATTTTAACTGGGAGTTAATGGAGCTTTTATTCACATTAAAAATGAATTAAATCTGTGTTTTAACACAGCAGTTGCTCATAGCCGTGACTAGCCCCACAGAACCAGAAGGACAAGTGACAGATTTATGTTCCTTCCTATTTTTTTAAAATGTTATTTTTGAGAGCACAAGTTGGGGAAGGGCAGAGAGAGGGGGACAGAGGATTTGAAGTGGGGTCCATGCTGACAGCATCAAGCCCGACGTGGGGCTTGAACTCACATTGTGACCTGGGCCGAAGTCAGATGCTCACCGACTAACCCACCCAGGTGCCCCTCTTTCCTATTTCTTGACTAGCCCTCAAGGAATTGTATGATGGCAGTAATTAGGGGTATAACCTCCCCTTAGCTCAGCCCAGGTAATTAGATTTTCAAATATATATAATATATACATGATTATATATATATAGGGTATACATGAGTTCTAAAGGCATTGTTTTCAAATTAGTTAAATCTAACTTGAAAAACATTTTCTAAATAACAGAAATCAGGCAGTGACGAGGATGGCATCCAGCTATGCCCAAGAGGAAATCATTCGGTGGTTTAAAGAGGAGCAGCTACCTCTGCGAGCAGGCTACCAGAAAGCCTCAGACGCCATAGCTCCCTGGTTCCATGGTGAGTACAGAGGTTCCCTCAATGGAACCTCATCTGGCGATGCACAGAGCTATGCTAATCCAGCAGGAGGGCAAAAAGAATAAAGGCGTCCTTTTATTTGTGCTGCCCAAGAAGAGCCTTTGAAATTATTTTCACAAGGAGTTTTTCAAATGTTTCTCAGTGGGTTGCAAACTCATGATGAAGTTAGGAAACAGTGAGTGGTTGTGGTCTCTGCATGTACTATGGGCTAATTTATCACCACAAATGAAATACCGCCGGGTGGGTGGGGAAGACAGTGCCTCCTGGTCACCTACACTAGGGCTCCCCTCAAAAGGCAGTGCCTGTTGTCCACCATCCACCATGAGTCAGATATGCCCTTGGTGTGGTGGGCAAGGCATTGGTTTAGCAATCCAAAGGTCAGCTTTCCATTGACAGTTGAGTGACTTTGAGCAAATCATCTTCTTTTTCTGTAGCAAGTCAATTTAGCTAAGCCTCATTTTCCTCATCTATTAAATGAAGAAATTGAACTTTATGATCTTTAACCTAAAAATTCTATTACTTTGATCTATGTTTCCATTAAGTAGTTAAGGCTGCCAGGTGGGTTTGTTGAAGCCTGAGCAGATATTACCTAATAAGCCATTTAACACTAGAAATTTGATTAATTCAAGTCCTCTGTGTACCCAGCACACATTTCACTGACTGCTTAGTTTCTTGGACTTCAAGAAAAGAAGGGGCTTCTTGCCTCAGCTTGCTTCTGTAATGTCTGTGGTTGATTTGGACTAATTGGCTCTATGTACAACAAAAGTGCTTTAAGACAAAAATAAAGTTCTCTCATAGAGCACACTTGTCGCAAAGGGTATATTGGTTTGAATCATGTTGAATCATGTTTAACTAGTATTCATGTCACACATAAATATATCCACAAAAATAGGCTCCCAACCCTATAATATGGCAAACTCTTCTAAAAAGAAAAATATTATTTGTAATAGGCTTTCTGCTAATGGGCTGCTTTTGCAGTCAGATCATTATGGAACTGTCTAGCTTTCCTTGAAAATATGTGTTCTTTGGCAATTTAGGCCTTAGTAATTGTCCATTCCCTGAGGAGCCCCTCCCCCTCCTAGGACTGAGTCGTAAGCCTCCATTCTTCCTATTCTTCTTGGAAGACATTGGAAGAAAGAGGGACATCAGTGTCAAAAGATGAATAGAAAGAACATGGCCAATTACACGTTAGCCCCACTGTTTCATATTGCCCCCCCTTTTTTTCCTTTTTATGATAAGCACTGAGGAAATCAGTACTTTGTAGTTTCTGTGTCATTGGGCAGAAGATGCTGTCATCCCTGATTACAAGGGTGGCAGTTCATTGGAACAGCAGGAAGTGAGACATTGAAAATGTTGGTTCATGTAATTCAAAATCCTGGTACTTTAACAGGCAGTTCTATTTGAAACAGTTGATAAAAGTGAGAAAGACAAAGTTGAACTAAAAATCCAGTTGGAGCTTTGATTAAAAAATAAATTCTTGAGTTTTAATAACTTATTAGTTGCAATTGTTACTTGTTTATTTTCATTTGTATAAATATTTATCATAGTCATAAGCAAAATAAATAATATACAGTATAATGTAAATAATATGATATTAATAGTCATTAAGTCATTATCTTCTGTTTTAAGAAGACAAAATTTCACATGTTTCTATGACAAAGATGGATAATATCTTATATTTTTAAAATATAATTGTTTATTGCTCATGAGCCCTGTTTGAAATAATGGGATGGTAACTCTTGTATTGGTTTGCCATCTTCCTCCATTATCATGCACTCCATAAACTGCCTTTCTTATGTTACTGTTTTGGTCAGCTAATTTTTCACTGTGGAAGTCACACTTTTACCCTTTTCTTTTAATTAGCTTTAGACAGGATGAGTGGGTAGAGGACAAGGGAAATGAAAACTACTGGATCTCTGGCTTGTGGGGCTAGGCAGAAGGTGGCATGCTATCAGCTGGAAGAAGGACCACAAGAGGATGGGAGATTAAGGGGCAAAAAGAAGAGGGGAGACAATGAGCTTATCTGGGATATGATGAGTTTGAAATGTCTTTGGGGCAGTCATATGAAAATATCCCTTTGGAAGTTGAATTGATGGAACAATGTTAGAGATAATATATTGGAGTTATCAGCACCTAATGAAAAGCATGGGAGGGATGAGGTTTTTCAGGAGTGAATTGGGAAGAATGATGAGAGAAGAACAAGGACAAGACCCTGGGGAGCACTAACATGCATTGTGATGGTGCCAGATCTTTGTCTCAGGTGTCCCTCCTCACTTGGGATAATAATGAGATGAATATCTGTCCATGGGGGCCAGTATTAGAGGCAGTAAAGTAGGATATTGTCTGATCTCCTAGATGTAAGAGCTTGGAAAATCCCAAGTACAAGAGAGATCCTGAAATGCAGTGCTGAACTCTACTTCATGAGCATCTTTTGATGATCTCAAGCACATCTCGATATGCCATCTCCCCACTTCTCTCTCAGCAAGCTTTTTTCAGAGACCACAAGGTCTCAACTTTTACTGGACTTTTGGTACCATTGGTTATGTGGGACTTGTGGGAGAACCCATTGAAGATTCTCAAGTTCTTTTACACTTTTTGTTAGTTTTCCTTAGAGCCAGAGCACATTTCTAGCTTTTACATGGTTCAGTTTGGTGTTAGGACCCAGATGGAATGACTTGCTGACATCTCTTAGCTGCTTCCCATGTTCCTTCCTAGTAGCCTGGAGACCAGGGAGCTGATGTACACACTGGCTCCTTCCCAGGATGCTTTCCCACCTGCTCCCTGGGAAGAACCTCCCTGCAAATTTGTAGGCCACCTTACTACACTGTGCAACCACAGAATCATGAAGAATACTAGGAAGCCCCAGCAGTCTTGACAGAGGGCCTTGTGAAGGAATTTTGTAGTGGGCATTTTTCTAATTTTTTAATATTCTGCAAAGGTAATTCATGTTAGTTAATTTGGAAATTTTATACTCACACTCATTTAGGAGGACTGCTGGGAAAACTACAGTGTATGTCCCAGAGCATCTTGCCTTGCTGCTAAGCCCCTTCAGTAGGAGAAAGTTCTGGACTTTGTCACCACGTGAATAACTAATCTTGATCTCTCATCTGCCCTCCTTTATCAGCCTCCTAACTGGTCTCCATCTTTCCTCTGCTGTCCCCCGTTTTCAACATAATCAAACTGCAATGAGAGTACAACCCAAATTCCTCCCTGGGGCTCACAAAGCTGGCTTGATCCACCCCTGATTATTGCTCCGGCCCCGTCTTCGAAGAGCCCTACCTTGATCACTGCTCTCCACCACACGTTTCCCTTCTATCCCTGACACACCACACTTATCCCTCTCTTAGGACCTCTGCAATTGTTTTTCCTGAAGATCCTTCTATGGCCAGCCTCTTGAGGAGCTGACTCACGTGACTGTGGAGGCTTGCTGGGCCCCAAATCTGTTGGGTAGGCCAGCAGGCTGGAGACTTGGGGAAGACTGAGCTCGAGTCCAAAGGCTGAACACTGGCAGGATCCCTTCTTGCTCAGGCAAGGTCAGTCTTTGTTCTTTTAAGGCCTTCAACTGACTGGATGAGGCCTACCCACATTATGGAGGATTTTTCTCCCTTTCCTTATTTAAAAAAAATTTATTATAAACTATTTTGAACAAAAAGTACAAAGGAAGCTATGACTAAGACCAACGTTGTAGCAAATGTTATATCTACTTTCCAGGATACAGTACAGTGAATGTTAGAAGCCATATTTACTTCATATCTATTTTTCTTAATAAGAAATAAGGGGCACCTGGGTGCCCAGTCAGTTGAGCATCTGGCTCTTGATTTTGGCTCAGGTCATGATCTCACAGTTCGTGAGATCAAGCCCCATGTCTCTAACAGTGTGGAACCTGCTTGGGATTCTCTCTCTTCCTCTCTGTCTGCCCCTCCCCCACCTCTCTCACTCTGTCTCAAATAAATAAATAAACTTAAAAAAAAAAAAGGAAAGAAAGCCTGAAAGAATTAAGGCACCCTCTTTTACTGCCTTTTTGATTCTGTATACTTCTCTCCCAGGGGGTGAACCACTCTTTTCAAATTATCCTTTCATTTTTATTCTCTCATTTTTGTACTCTCATTATATATGTAGATGTCTGTGAATTTTTATAAAATATATTAAGATATATTAAACGTATACATACTTCTATAAAACATGCAATCTTGTGTTTAACATTTACATGGTATCATGTTATAGGCATTGTTCTGCAACTTGAGTTTTCTCCCAACATTATGTTGTCTGGATTTTTCCTTTTTTATAAATGTAGACTGGCTCATTTGTTTTACCTATTGTGCAGTATATTATATGTTATTTATAATACATAAAGTGTAAACATACAATGCTTTATATGTGTTTAATAATTATATTAGTATGTTATTATACACACTATCATTATTCATTCATCCCTTCTATATTTGGTATAGTTTTTTTTTTTTTTTTGCCATTGCAGAAAATGATGTGGGGTATATACTTTTGGACATACCTCATTGTACACATATGTGATAATTTCTTCAGGGTGTATATCTAAAAGTGGAATTGCTAGGAGGGTAGGTTACATGAATCTTTAATTATATTGAATATTGCCAAATGCCCTCTAAAGTGATTATATGAATCTCTACTCCCACTAGCAATCTTTAAGAGTTTCTGTTTTCCTACATACTTACCATGCTTGGTGTTGCCAAACTTTTATTTTCCCTTATTCTTATGGGTCCAAAGTGGAATCACCTTATTTTATTTTTTTTATATTAAAATTTTTTTTAACATTTATTTATTTTTGAGAGACAAAGAGACAGAGCATGAGCAGGGGAGGGGCAGAGAGAGAGAGACACACACAGAATCTGAAGCAGGCTCCAGGCTCTGAGCTGTCAGCACAGAGCCTGATACAGGGCTCAAACCCATGACCATGAGATCATGACCTAAGCCAAAGTTGGGCACTTAACCAACTAAGCCACCCA